GTAAAAAAGGGACAAATTCCCTTTCTCTGAACCGGTACCATGAAAATGAAACACCGGAGGCTAACATATGTCTTTCTTCAAGTCTAGACCGTAAAAATTCTGCTAAGTCCTTTGGGAGGCCCAGGGAGGGGGCAGACAGACTGACACATACATACTTTGTTCCAGTAGGAACTGGATTTTCTCAGTTTATATTTGTTTTGTTATTGAAATAAATAGATCAAAACCGGATTCAATCTCAGATATACACTCACATTGTGTAGTGACTTGTTCATCATAAAACCTCCATAATTCACACTCAATTCACCGCTTATATAGGCTAAACATCGAACCCATACCGAACCTATAAACCCATTCAATAAGAAAATTTCAGGTGAAATTTGTGACTTATCTATAGGTGATAGATGTTTTTTTACTATTTTTCCGTAATCTGCACACAAAATACTGTTGAAATCACTAGTTGAATATCCTACAATTTCTTCATCGCAGACCTGTGTAATATATCACGATTACCTCTTGAAGATGATCACTTGGTGATTGATACAAGTGTGTTAAAAATAACGGTTCAGTTTTGGGATGAAACTCCACGATTACCAACTGTCGAATGGATCCTTGTAGATGTCCATATATATCTGATACCGGGAGCATGTATTATCTGAAAAAAATAAGTTATATATCAACATCTACAAGAAACAAACCACACAATAAATAAAGAAAACATGAACATTTTTCATACGTGCAATGAATGAAGGAAGATTAATTTGTTGGAAGCATTGAAAATGAATAAATTGTACAAAAACCCTAATTTCAAAACGCTTAATGACCAACTAGAAGTAATCAGCTCGCTCCTTCTGGATCCATTAAACAGTTGGTTATCGTGAATATTACTGGAGTTTTATGCCAACACTAAACCGTTATTTTCAACACCTTGACACGTGTTGCGATCACCAAGGGATCATCTTCAAGAGGTAATTGTGATATAAAAGATAGTACCCTTTACAGGTACCTGACCTTATCGGTGTATAATAAAGTACTTGACTTGATGTATTAGTTACATGAAAATGGTCTAATAAACCGAAATCGGTCGTAACGAATGAGAAACTCAGTAGAAATTATGCGCAAAAGTTATTTTCTTTAATCTATATTCGATAAGAATTTCTACAAAATAAGTAGGTCGTCAATCGAACAACTTCTCGGTTAAGCCTGTAGTTTCGTCTAATCATTGGAATTTTCTCAATGATAGTATTCGAAACAACTAGAACCGTCTAAAAAATATTGAAATTCTCCACTTGAATATCAATATATTTTTATTTATATTTGAAATATGACAGCGAGACTCACCTTGGGCACACCTTACAGACTCGTGAAACGTTGTGTTTCAGAAATGTCTAATACTTGAAACGTGGATACCTCAACCAGTCACCAAATTGAATATTTTGGTCACAACGATAATGAACCAAATAATAAGAGTTATAACTACTGGTAAAAATTTGAACGCGTTTCTGATTGGCAAATGTAAATCAGCGGCTAGGAATATTATTTCGGTGATGTTTGTGACACTATATGCGTATTTACAACTGGTTTATGCAAAAGTTTTTTGAATTTCTTACAAAAAAATCTCCTGAGAAAGCACTTTATATATTACGAACGATTTTATGAATCATAATGAATTTTTAATGTACTGAGAATGAATTTTTCTTTACTCAGTGTACTTTTACGTTCAGTTATTTTATGCTATTCCACCGATCGATCAGTCACAGATTATACTTGTCGAAAACGAAATTCAGTATTATCGTTATTATTTTCACCTTGAGAGGAGTTTCTTCTATTATCAATCAATGATCAATTTTCACAATTTTGAATTAGTAATATACAGTAAATTGGATTATTAGGGTCTCTCAGTCAAAAAATTTAATTAACTCACCCTACCTCAATCTGACGCGCTCGAGAATTTAGTAATCTGATCTTTTATCCCTCACATGAGGTCTTATATATGGGGCTCATATTTGGTGGAGGTACTCAACCGGGTAGAAGGTATCCCCCTGTATATTAATCCGCCGCGCTTTAGTAAATCCCGAAATCTTTGCCATTAGAATTACGATTAGAAGCGAAAGCTTGGCGAAGTAGAGCAGTTTTGATTTTTCATTTTTTGATTGAGAGACCCCGTTATTCCATTTTACTTTATTTTCAGTATTTCAATATTAATATATTTCACATATGATATATAGGAGTTATAAAGCAACAAATCCTTCTTGTAACATATATTGATATGTATAACATCAATATCAAAGCCTATTATGATAAAAGAATGATAATTAATGATATATCATTGATAAGGTAAAATCTGGTTCTATCCAAAACGGAAAGAATCCAATGTAGCGCCCATAAAAAAAAATTAAGTTGATGATGATGGCCGCAAGACGAAATGTCGTATAGCAAACCTGAAAACATCATTATGTAGCAGTGTCATCGATGACATCGTAATGACATTCATTCACATATTTGATTAAGTCTCAGTCATAAGGAATCTTGTTTAATTTGAACGGGTTAGGTACATATTTAGGAGTGACTAATTTTTGTGAAAGAAAGTTTTTATCTTTCTACTACTCCATCTTGATACAGAAAAGGAAGAAAGTGAATAATTTTTAAAAGAAATAACTTCATACATAGATGTGCAGATAAGGCAAAGAGGTAACTTTCATACACATACTGGCAGACAAAGCCTTCCAGAAACAACTTCGTTCATAATATATAAACATTGAATTACATGAAAGAAAAATTATTTCGAAACAAATACTCTTATTTGAGCACTGAATTATACAGAAACAATTTTTTCCACTCAATTTGTATTACAAACATTCATCATGGAATTGAATCAGATATTATCATTCACAGGATTTTTACACAATATACTAAATAAAAGGTTAAACTTTTACTCACATGGAACACTGTCATGCTCACTGGTAGACATCGATTTTTCGCTGTAAGACGCTTGCCTCTTCAGTACAAATCTGGATAACATTATGAGAAAAAACACACAATTCATTCATAAATCACGATTTTTTTTATATTTGTGTAGAAATCCTGTGAATGATACCTGATTCAATTTCATAACGGATGTTTGTAACACAAACTGAGTGGAGAAAAGTGTTTACTGTATAATTTAGTGTTCATATACGAGTATTTTTTTCGAAATAATTTTTCTTTCGTGTAGTTCAATGTTTATATGAAAGTAGCTGTTTCAGGAAAGCTTTTTCTTTCAGTTTCTGTCTGAAAGTTACTTCTTTGCATGATCTACAAATCTATGTATGAAGTTATTTCTTTTGAAAATTATTCACTTCCTTCCTTTCTTTGAAAGATTCCCTTATTTTCATGTATCAACATGAAGTAGTAGAAAACCAAAAACTTTCTTTCTCAAAAATTAGTCATTCCTATACAACCCATTCGAATTGTACTTTCAGTCAAATGGGGAATGTTCCTCAATTTGGGTTATTACAAAAAATGCAAGTTTGAACAAAATAAAGTTGAGTTTAATTCATGAATTTTTCAAATTCACTTCGAAAAGTATTCAAATTGATGTTTCAAATGTTGGGTTTTAATCTTCAAAGGGATTTGTTTCTAATTCACATATTGACAATAGCGCCTATGTCAAGTTGAAATAATTTATACGTACCTAGATATTCTACTTTTAAAAATGAAAATTATCCTTATAAATCAACAACTACGGCAAAATATAAATTAAAGTTCAATACCACCTCCACAAGCCACATAAACAACAGTTGTTTTGTTATTTATTTATATAGAGGAAGATAGGTTAGGTGCACAAAATGTAATATGTCACAAAATGTCTCGGAACTCGGAACATAAGTAAACAGAACAGCACGCCTTGAAATATGTCATCTTTGTTTGTCTCATACAGGTAACAGATTCATTGTCTTTTATTAGCTATAACCGATATTGCCAAATGGTGAAATAGAAACGAATCCTTTTGAAAGTTGAATGCATTATTTCATTCCTCTTTTTTGAGTATTTAAATAATTTTTTAAAGAAAAAGGTTGAAATGATAAGTTCAAAATGCGTTGTGTTAGAGCTCTTTTATGAAAACTATTTGATTTTCGTCTGGAGGAACATTCCCCATTATATCAACGTTGGCATTCATTCGAAATGATCGAAATTCACAAGGTTTTTTATTGAAAGAAAGAGTGATTTTGGTAAAGGTGTTGACCTTCTACTTTTCCATCTTGACACAAAAATATGGGAATATGTCGAAAACATGAAGGAAGCAATCAAATTCCAAAAATTAACTCAATACAAAGATTTGTAGACCATGGAAAGAAGTAACTTTCGGACACAAACTGGAAAAAGCCCTCCTGTAACAGATATTTTCATATTACATGAAAGAATCAAATCCGATATCAGTTCAGGATTCCTACATCCTAAACATCGGATTTCTACCGGTGAGGATGACAGTGTTCCATGTAAATGGAATTTCCATTCTTTCATTTATTATAATTTGTAGTAATCCTGTGAATGATATCTGATTCGATTTCATATGAGTGTTTGGAATATAAACGGAATAGAGAAAAGTGTTTTTCGTATAATTCAGCGTTCATATAAAGGTATTTTTCTTTCGTGTAATTTAATGTTTATATGGAGATAACTGTTTCAAAAGGGCTTTTTCTTCCAGTTGTGTCTCAAAGTTACTTCTTTGCATGATCTACACATCGTTGTATAGAGTTAATTTCTGAATTTGATTGCTTCCTTCCTTTCATTGGAAGATTCCCATACTGTTTGTAGCAAGATGGAGAAGTAGGAAGCCAAAACCTCCCTTTCCCACAAATTGTTTTTCTTCCACACCATTTCCACACTGTTTTTGTCCAAAATGATGATACCAGTTATCAATATTTATCTAATCAACGAGAATGAAGTTCATATTCAATTTCACGAATGATTTTCCCGATAAGTTAAAATCGGTACCTACATCCTGTGATAGCTCATTGCTTCTTTATCACTGATTATTTCAGTTATCACTTCCATCGTGGGCGCGAGTAACTTATAATATGCGCGATATTTTCGAAAATACATGACATTTTTTCAGTGACTGATTTGTTTCTCTTATTAGTGGGACGTTTACTACGACATCATTATCGAGAAAAAATGTGAGTTACTTCAAAATATCTGTTGTCAATGAACAAAAACTTCGTTGAGAATTATAAGGTCAGTTACTTCATTATATAATGAATAGTAATGATGAAAATTTGGTCAATTAGTTTTTTCTCCATCACAAGAAAACCATTATAGTGGAAATTCAATTGAAACAAAACATATCATCGTGACAACATCGATTTTCCAGCTTTCGTGGTAACGCTTTCAGAAAATTATAGAAATCAAGAAAAGCATTACTACCTGCATAGGAAAATTGAGTTGAGTTTCCGTGAAATTGGCTCAGTATCAATATTTTTCAAAATATTCTCATGAATAAAAAAAATTGAAAACACAGATTTTCAACTATTATTCAGCATCGGATATAAACAGTTGTCCATGAATTTACCGATTAATAAATGCTCTTCGGATAGAAGTTTTATTCAGGCTTCTTGACGACTTCTATATCAATATGATTGGACAAGCTTGATTATCTCATCTTTTACTTCATTATCGATACGTTCACAATTCCAAACATTCTGAGGAATCGTAATCGATTACCTCAGCAATAAAAACATTGAAGAATTTTGACAATTCACCAGTACCTTATCTTTACTCAATTTGTTTTCCTATCTATTAGTGTGATTCCATTAGAAATATTTGGTTCCACTGAAAATATTTCTACTCGCAAATATGCCACCCATGAATGGAATGTACTTCATGAACATTAACGACACTGATATGCTACGAACAATCGATATTTTCACTTCAATTATAACATAACAAACATTTCTTTAATGATAATTGAATTTTGAAGTGTTCAAAATATTAGGATATTGTTTATGATGAGGCAACTTGAGATGGATATACCTACCAATCCAGAAAAGAAAAGAACGCTTAGTCGATCAGAGTTATCTTACTAACATGATCGTAGTAGTGCCTCAAGAGATGTGATTGAATATAATTTGAAACAATCTAATAGAAGATGTGAAACTGAAACCATCTTCAGTAAAATACTCTCAATAATTTGAATTGAAGTGGTTATATTTTTAGGAGTGATTAATTTTTGGGAAAGTTTTTGTCTTTCTACTACTCCATCTTGATACAAAAAAAAGGATATGTGAATCTTCCAAAGAAAGGAAGGAAGTAATCAATTTGAAAATAAGTAACTCTATACATGGATGTGTAGATCATGCAAAGAAGTAACTTTCAGACACAAACTGGCAGAAAATCCTCCTGAAACAGCTACTTTATTTATTATGTCTCAAGACATAATTTGCACAATGGGCAATCTACAAAACATTTTGAAATAATTTCTTTTGTGATACGATACGACCTTGACAACAATCTGACCCAAACACTACTATTTCTATACATCTGTACATTTCAAAGAAAGCGATTCTCATGAAGAGTAGTGAAAGAAACTGTTGCAATTGGTAGCGAACATACTTCGAAACGCATGTCCCCTGATTTCACAAGATCGTTCAATTTGAAATATTGTGTAATTTGCAAGGAACGTGTTTGAGTTCGAAATTTAACAATGTCATTGCATGATTTTCCTGTATTATTCCGTAAGAAAACTTGGTTTTTATTTATATTTTGGAGGTGTGATGAATACTGCTCCACTAAACACCCATTACTGTCGGCAACTATAAAAATCCTCTACTGCATTAGATGATCGAAAAGTAATTCACAATAGGTTTTTTTGGTATCAGATAAGTGTAAATCGCCCAATTCACATCTTCTATAAGAGCCAAAGATATCGCAAATGACAGCCACCTTCGAAAATACTCGTAAAGACGTAATGTCCGGATATCTATGGAAAATTTTCGAAAATCGTCTTTCTTGAATACCTATAGTTTCGTCAGACGTGGGCTCTACATAGAAAATCGTGAAAAACCTTGAAATATTTTAATTTTTTTAGTTTCCCGGCCAAAATTTCAAAACTGAGAAGTTCTTGAAGGAATCGGGCATTTACAAAGTTGAAGCTTACCGAATTTTTCATCAAATGCATAGTGAAAAGCACTTAGATGAAGACAATTTTTGATCACTTGATGAAAAGAGGAGAAACATCATTCTAACACTGCGATAGTATGTCAATGAGTTACAATGTCAGTAGAAATTGATTTGCAATAATAATGCACACAGTTCTATCCATGATATATAGAGGTAAACGGTTATGATGAAGTTTATCAGAGAAATATTTTACTCAAAAGTTTCAGAACCGTTAGATTCAATGTCAGTGAAGTGACATGACATGACTGAACTCGTGGTGCCACCTGTAATACAGAGAAACATAAATTAGAATCCAAAACAAGCACTCTTCTCGAACACCTGACTACTCTTACCTCATGTCATCAAGACGTCGAAGTTCATTATAATATAAAAATGTAGATATGACTTCAGTCAGTAACGTTACTGTTCTATAAATCAATCATAAATTTATGACATTTCTCACTAATGCTCGAAGATTATCGGCACTTCTCTGATATTGAAAAAATACACCAATTAAAAAAGCAGATTATTGAGACTTCATGACATTTTTTTTTTCAATTTCATATTGCATCATCTCAAACAAATATTCCTCAGGGGACTGAAATGGACAATTTGGAAAAATTAAGCAAACGAACAATAACTGAAACAATTCGGCATTATTTGCTATACTTCCATTCCATTCCTGCTATTTCCCTTCTATAATGGTGAATTGCTCATTTTTTTTTAATTCATTTCATTTCACTGATAACTCTGGGAGGTGTGAATTTTCATGAAGAATTTCAAGCCGTATTATTAGAGTTGCTTGAATTAACTGACTGGGCAGAAAAAAGAATCTATTAACAATTCAAATGAGACTCATAAATTGTCTTAATTTTTTGTATTCTTGAGTGAATCCTTCATTCAAAACAGGTCCGGCTGCACTGCCTTCATAACTTCGCTATCATGAAATACAATGAATAGTTATTTCACATAGTAGCTTTCCGTATACATTTCTGAGGAAAAACCAGTTAACTAGATTCTTATTACATCAATTTGTGTTCTTGTGAATACAGGATTACGACTTCTCATCGTGCTCAGTTTTCACTAATACCAATGGTCATAATACCACTATGGCGATAGATAATTTTTACTTTCAATCTGAAGAAAATATTATGTGAAGCAAAAAGATTTCCTCTCTTTTCTAAGCTATACAAGAACAACATTCAAAAATTTAATGTGCTCTATACATCTTCTGTTTGTTGTGAGAAGACGTCAAAGAATATATTATAAATTTGGCCCAATTGTACTTTCGTTTTCAAACTATTATGACCATGTCAACAGATTTCATTAAAATATGTGAATCTATAGAAATGAACTTTAAATGTTCAATCCCATCTCGGATATATACCTACATAGTAGGTGGAAAACAACTACTTCACTGGCTAATACCACGAACGGCGTTAAATCATATCTGACAGGCGTCATTGCAGGAATCTTCACAGAAAATTTTTTGCATATGCAATTGGCAATACAATTGCCTGTCGGATATAATCCAACTGCGTTCGTGGTATTAGCCAGTGGAGTAGTTGTTTTCTCATAGGCGTCAGTCCATTCAACCTACTGTGTAGGTATATCCGAAACGGGCTTTAAACATTTAAAGTTCATTTCTTTAGATTTGTTCACTTCCTATCTTCAGGCATAGCCCCCTGACTAATAAGAAAAAAATAACAGATACCAATATTATGATTTTCACTGTAGAACCCGCATTTTCATGATAGTCATTGATTTGATATAACTTGATAATTATATCCTGTACCGATTTTTCATTGTTCTCATACAGTTGCCATTTCCTAACATATCTCAATGTCAGGTAGCGAATAAATTACGTTTCTCCTCATGATAATTTTACAACATTTTTATTAAGGTGGAAAATGAATAAGAAATAAAATTCGTGATCACATTCGGACAATTAACTTCAATCTCGGATTCATTTATGTATAGTCATAAATAACAACCTTACAACTGGTACAAATAATGCAAGAAACAGTCTATTGAAATCTAAAATTCATTAGCAAAAATAGTAGAACCGATACGCACAGTAAACTATAAATTCACTTTCATTTCTCTACTGACAAGAAGGAACTTGACACTCTTCAAAACCGAATTCATGCATGATTCATGAAGTAGTTCAACTTGGTGATATTCCAGGAATAATATTCAAATTTTAAATCCGTCATTTGAAACCAGACAGATGAATGTAGTGATAGTATGCGCTAACTGTTTTACCGGTTGAATAGACGACCTAACTGTTGAAAGTTTCAGAATTTCAATAGGTACTCGTTTAGGATGTTTGATTTGTGTTAATCACAAATGTCGGTGCGTTGATAAAAATGGTACTCATGGCCTCAGTTGTAAATTTTGTGCCAGTCGCTTCTCCCGACATTATGCAATAAAGACATACTTAAAGGTGCATTGTCAAGAGCCAATATCGCTTCTGTGATTCAACCTCTTGGAATTACCCGAGATGATAGAAAACGTCCTAATGGAATGTCCCTCATTCCTTGGAGACATGGGAAACCTTCGGTTTGGGACTTCTCCTTGGCTCGCTCCCATCTCAATTCAACTTCTCAAACAGCTGGTGGGGCAGCTGAATATGCTGAAAAAATGAAACATCGGAAATACATTTGTCTGGAAGATCGATATATTTTCTATCCAATATCCAGAGATATTGGTCGGAAACTAATTACAGTAACAGGCGATTCTAGAGCAAGATCATTTCTAATATAACGAATCAGCATTGCAATTCAGAGAGGAATTGCCACTATTTTTCCTTCTCAAAGTCTTAATGGAAATTTCTTTCGCCCACAAAACTGGTTATACTGCCGGAATCGATTTTCAATTATTGGAAGACACTTGAACTCGTCAGTGCAAAGTAGGGTCTATCATCAACATGAAGTGGATGATTTCCGTTGATTGAAAGTTGAATTCTTTCGGAGTATCATCCCTCGAAGCGAACAACAAACAACAGGTTTGTCATCGCCCC